CGCCTCAGGAGATGAAAGAAAACGTTTTTCTCCCTGAGTCTGGCCTTCATAATTCCATTCCGTCACAGAAGGTGCTGTAAATCACCATGATGGAAATGGTTGACCAAGTACAAAAAAGAGCAACTACATTCCTTTTTGAGAAGAGTTACAGTGTTTGGGAATCTTTGTCTTAGGAAAAATGAAAGAGCTATGAGAATAGGTTTCAGTAAACGTGTACACCTAATCCCCTCTTCATACAGAGCAGTCTGAAATGCATGATCAGTATGCCTTTTAGTACTTGATGAAGAAAGGTGCTGTAAATGAGCATTGTGTAGAAGCTGCCGCTGGCAGAAATGAGTCCTGCGCACTGCTCTTGAAGGTCAGGTCCCATCTGGTGGCTGATGGCGGTCTCCAACTCAGTAGGTTTTTCTGCTAATGAAAAAAATGCTGCACCTTTTTGCCCATTTCTGAATCAGAGGGGAAGAAGCAACGTGCCTTTTTAATAAAATTTGTTAGTTGGAAAAGGTGCTACCAGACTCCTTCCAATAAAACAGCAGTGAAGATCTAGTTGATCTAAATCAGCCTTTCCTTCCCTGATGCTCTCCGGTTGTGATGTAAGCATAATTCTCAGAATTCCTAGGAAGTTGCTGAACAGGCTGGGTCAGGACTCTTGGAATTGTAATCATGACATGTCTTGAAGAATACCTGTTGGAGAAGCATGAGATAAGCATTTCTTACCACTGGTTAGGCTAGGTAAGTGGTGACAGGGGATGTGTTTAAACTAATTCTTGGAAACTGTGTAAGGACATTCAACCCCCACCCAGGCTCAGGAGCATAAGAATTGAATAATGAGGATAGACCACAGGTGACAAAAATGTTAGGGGGTTCTAGAGCAGTGTTTTTCAAACTTGACAACTTTAAGATGTGCAGACTTCAACTCCCAGAATTGCTGGCTGGGGAATTCTGGGAGTTGAAGTCCGCACATCTTAAAGTTGTCAAGTTTGAAAAACACTGTTCTAGAGATATTTGACTGGCTAATATTCAAAATCTAGTGCTTAGC